TGGAGAAAGCGGAAGAGATGTGTGGATAGATGATAGTGGTGGTGATCTAGGATGCGCGCAGGCGAGAGAGAAAAGGCAAGCAGGATGGTGCTAAGCCTAACTAGGCAGACACCTCCAACAATTAATATTATACCTATTAGCTAATTATAATTGATACCTTTATAAATAATTATATTTTTGAAAAACTACTTTATTTTCAATTCTTTAATATATATTTCTCAGGCTTAAACATTTAAAAAAAAGCTTATAATGAAGGTAATATTATATAAAATTAAAATTATTAAACTTTTAATATTCTCTTTTTATAACTTTAATTTAATTATATATATAAAGAATTAATTTCAAATAAGATTCTTAATACTTACTTAATTTATAATAAACATTTATATAATACTTTTTTAATTATTAAAAAAATTTATAATATTTTAATTCTACTTTTATTATAATCTCTTTTATATTATTAATATAAAAAGTTAAATAATTTTATTAGTCTATAATTCAAAATTATAATATTGAGCTATTTTATCTTTATATTATTTTAAAATTTATTTTTAATATATTATATTTTACTCCTTTTTTTAAAAAAGAGAATAGTTTACTCTTTATATAAATTAAAATATTATATTTTTTAAAGATAAAGCTTTTTTATAGATTTATTTTTATAAAATTTAAAGTTTAAATCTCTAATAGTTTTTATAAATAAATATTATTCAATTATATATAATATTTATTATAATATTTTATTATTTATAAAAGTTAATTCAAATATAATAAATATTCTAGTACTTTTCATTAGTTATAAGTTTAAAAAGAGTTAACAAATTATTAAATAAATCTTCAAGAAATTCCTAAATTAATTATTCTTTTATTTAAATTATTAAAATATTAAAAAATACTTTAGACCTCTTTATAATATAAGTTAATTTATTTATATTAATATTAAAGTTTACTTAAAAAAGATTAAGTACTCTTAATACTTCATTTAATACTCTTAAAATAATAACTTATTATTAATATATTATTTATTTTAACCTATTTTAAAGTATAGGTCTCTTATAGCCCTTAAATTCTTATATTAAGTTAAGATTATTTTAATTTAATATATAAAAAAAGTATTTTAAATTATAAGTAATAATCTTATATTATTTAAATATAAGATAAGTAAAATATTAATATAATTAGTTAATAATAAAGACTAAGAATATAAAAAATCTATAATAAGTTTAATAAGTGAATAAGATAAAGTACTTAAGATTTTATTATCTATTTAAAGAGGTAATATATATTTTAACTTCTAAATAAGGTACTTAATAAGTGCCTAATAGATACCTAATATTCACTACTAGTCATAGGTATTCTTAGTTAAAAGGGTTATAGGGCAGTATTAGTACTAGCCTTATAATATAAGAGTAAAGTAGTAAAGATAATAAAGAAATTATTTATTTTTATATTAGGGCTATACTATATATAGACTCAGATATTTTAGTAGAAGAGGCTAATTATATAATATATTTTTAAAAATAATTTAAAATTTCAAAAATATCTTTATTAATAATTTCTAAGAAGATCTTTTATATTTATTGAATATTTATAAAGAATTAAATATAATATTTTATTTATAAATAAATGAATAAATAATCTATTTTAATAATATATCAAAATAATATTTATAAGCCTTTATTAATTATATTTTAAATAATGAAATAAATTAGCTTTTATTTATAAAGTTAAAATATAATAACTTATTAAGGTAATATCTTAGAATAAACTTAATAAAATAATAATAAATATATATCTAATAAATAGATAAGTAAATAATATACTATTTAAGATATATATAAGTAAAAGAGAAAAAATAAATAAAATAATATTAAGCTTAATTACATAAATACTTTTAATAAATAATTATATAAAAGAAAACTCTTCTTCTTTAAGTTTCTATAAAGCTAAAGAAACTTAATCATAATCTTCTTATTAACCAAGATATATTATTTATAAATACTCTTATATTATTTTTTTATATTAAATTTATTTTTATACTTATTATTAAAGACATTCATTTAATTAGGCTTAATATTATTTTATTTATTTATTCTCTCTTACGTATATATTTTAGATAAATTTATTATTATTTATTTATATATATCTTTCTCATTTTCTTTGGGCTATTTATATCTTAATACTTACTTATTCTTATAAATATCTACTCCTAAGCTTATATAAATTAATATTATATATATTAATAAAAAAATAATTAAATATATAAGTATATATTAGTAAGGCTTATAGATTATTTATAAATATTAAATATTAATAGTTTGATAAGTTAATTAATGATTATACTCTTTATAAATATATAATAACAATATATTAAATATAATAAAATATAAATAATATTTAATATTGATACATTTAATAAATAATAAGATGTTTAATAAGCCCATAAAGCTATTAATATTAAGCCTTATTTATATATAACATTTAATATCATTATATATTTAATATTATTATTATTTGGTGTAATATTTTATCACTTCTTTATTTATTAGCTAATTAAGTTATTAATAAGGGTAAATAAGTATTTATTCATTAACTACTTCTTAAAGACTAATATAATAAACTACTTTAATCAAAATTAATAAAACTAATTGATAAAAGAATCTCAATATTAAAACTCTATTAATAATAGATTAAGGTAATATTTATTATACTATGAAGATAATAAAATATATAAATTATTATAGTTTAATACTTAAATATTAAGTTTAAATGAAATATAAGTAATAGAGGTATCTGATAATCTTATTTATTTATATAAGATATACAATAAAGTAATATTAATATAATCTTAATTATTTAAAAAGAAATCAGACTCTCTTAAGGTATTCATATAAATAAAGTTAATCTATAAAATAAATCATCTTTATTTAATACTTTTATTTAATTAACTAATATTTTCTTAACTATACCTACCTTAAATATTCACTTCATATTAAAAGTTAATCTTTATAAACCAAATCAAACAATGAATATTAATTTAACATATTATTTCTTTACTTATATATTTAAAGATTTTTCATATTTTAATATAGGCTTACTATTAAGTAATTAATAATAATAGCTTAACTTCTTAGCACTTTAGAAACTTACCATTGTTTATTAATAAATAATAGTAAGATAATAATGATAATGATAATGATAATGATAATAAATATAATAAATATAACTAAATCAGCTTATATAGAGTAACATTAGCCTTCTAAGTTATGAAATAGGATATAAAAATTAATAATGATAATATTAGTGAGGAATAGGAGACAACTACAACAATCAAGGCGAAGCCTATCATGTAGTGGGGCTAGGGCTATACCGTACTGACATAATTCATATATATTTTTTATTCTTTTTATATTATATACATATATTTTTTGGGTAGTGATTTACTCTAGTTAATAAATAATTTATGTAGTATTCTTACTCAGCCAAAAGTTGACCTTGAGTCAGAAAAATAATTTTCGGGGGTAATTACGAAGTGTTGCCCTGAAAGATCGACGCCTCAAAAACACAATGCCTCAGGCCACAAAAGCCGCCGGAATTGGCAAACACCCACATCTCTATTCTTCAGCACTCCGCAGTACGGTATTCCAAACAGCCCATATCCACATCTATGGTCTAGTGGACAAGAACCCTCCATATATTTTGCGTCAAATAGGTTGTATATTGGAAACTGATTTGTATCATACATACCTTCTTCGGCCTTCCAGGCTAGGTTCAAGGCGCACCTTGAGGTGCGCCTTACGCATACAACCTCAATATGGTATACGACTGGGATGGAAAACGTGACATTTGTTATCAGATGTACATCAAGGAAAAAAAAGCCTTGGAAGAAATCATGGACTATATGAAAAATACATATCAATTTGCCCCCAGGTAAGAAGCTCTGCCCCGTTATCTCTCACATGTCATTTCCATTCAACACATGTTGCCTTGCTCTCCCTTGATACTTATTCAGGTCATGGCAGCAAACGCGCTTTCCAGACACAGTTTAAGCGCTGGGGATTTCCGTCGAAACAAAATCCCGCTCACAAGAACACGGAGCTTGTTGCACGCGTCAAACAGCTCTGGGAGTGCAACACTAGCCAGCGAGATATGCTTAAGATCTTGAATGAAGAGGGCTTTGAGATCAAGGAAAGAGAGCTGATGCGAGTTCGCGCCAAAAATCGCTGGCTATTAAGAGTCCCCAATGGAATGAAGACACAGGCAAATTTTCAACCTCCACAACACCAATCTCAGGACGAAGGCCTACTGGCTCTTCAAGAGGAAGTTTATAAAAGCCCAGGACTCGTTGATGACCACCTGAATGACCATTCAAACTCCACAAATCTACCTTCCCAGTCACTTAATCTTTCTCCTGAAGTCCTAGCCAAACGTAAAGAGCGCTTTGAACGCCTGAAAGCAGAAAGTGCAGAACGCTGGGCTACCAGGAAACGACGTCGACGCACTCGGGGATGGGCTGGGTTACCTGCAGATCCTCCAGGCCCCCCCCGTTTTCCGTCTGAAACTACAATCGACGAAAGCAAGAGATATCTCAGCCTAGACATTGCCATGTACCGTGAAATCAGAGACCAGTTCCAGGCAATCTGTGAACAATCAGGTTTCATCAAGAAAACTGTTGCTGGTCCCGAAAGGTGGCAAGCGGCGAAAGATAAACTCATTCAAGCATCTCCACATTTGCAGCAAATATTTTGTGTGGATCCTAATCAGCTTGATGCAAAAGCTCTTGCCCTTGATGTTGTCTGTACTGATGTCACTAAACGAATGCGAACATTAGAAAGACGCATGACCATTGCAGAGGCAAAAAATACTCTTGGAATCAATCCAGAAGAAAGCCGCCAAATTAGAAATATCTTCTATAATATGCTTAAAGCTGATCATTTCACAAGCAAACTTGAAGCTGGTGATGATCATTGGAGAGAGCTTAAAGAAAAATGGATACAAGAGTCTGGACTACTCCAACAAATTCTTTCATCTGGACCTACAGGATCTGCAGAGCACGCGCAGCCCACGCAGGCCTCTAAGCTAAAAGCGCTCGAGGTTCTCTGTCGCGATGTGATGAAGCGACTTCGTGATGATCAAACAAAGAGAGATCCATCGCGTAAGCGACCTCGGGCATCATCTACCATTCGAAGACCAGTCACAAATGATAATACTGCCTGCCACCCATTCCCTGGAGGAATCAGCAACGGCATAAGTACACTGGCTTCACAAGCCCTTGCAAGCGCCCCTATGCCTACAAATGATTTGGCTGAAATACAGATAGACCCTTCATTACTCCAGGCTGCAAATGACCCAAGTTTTGCAACAAGGGATCAACACGATACTGGGCAGGCATTTGGATATGTTGACCCTCTACTGGAGACTTCATTGCCTGATATCCCAATATATCTCCGCATTAGTCCCCACAGCCAATTACACTGTTCTTCAAAAACATGGGTTGAAAAATTAATAACCAGATCCATATCTGAACTGAGACAGCATGTTGTTGCTCGGTATCCAGACTCAGAGGTCACAAGGATCGAGGGCCTTGATAAAGATGAACATGGTAATGAGATATCTTTTTTGATTGATGAAGATCATGAGCTAGATGCCTATTTAACCCATGTTCAGGCAAGAAAAGCATCGTTCTTCTTCTGCTTGAGTGAAATCTAATAGATCTTTGCTCTCTTGAATAGCAAAACTTGCCTCCCTATGTATAAGCTACTTTCTAATGACGGAAGCCATTTTTACCAGTTTTCATCCAGATGCAAGGCTTTTAATGTACCTAAGATTGCCCATCAACATTAGATTATTAATATCTCAAGGTAAAAATCCAAGAAGCAAGCACCGAACTATCAAAAAAGCCCCGCATTCGTAGTCAAAAAAGCCTTGGCTAGCATTTATCTGATCTTTAGGCCAGGCCACTTCCAATGACGCTGAAAGGCAGCTTAAAATATACCCAAAGAAGTAAATTCTTTTTAGCTCGGGATACATGTCAAAATAAGTCTATGGGTTCTCAGATGTTCCGAAGACATTCAATACCAATCAATCCCACTTTGAATTGCACCTTCTTGTGAGCCTGGCTGGTTCTGAACATCTCTCTCGCAAGCAGTTTCCAGTTGACAAACACTACCATCAAAGCTTTCTGATCACTTGTCCACGTGCACGGCTTCCAGTGAGCTAGGCGGAGACACAGGGCCCCTTCATAGACGCAAAACCCGAAATATTTGGGATTATATCCGTTTTAAAAACCGTCCCTCTTCGATGCAATTCGGTTTAATTGTGGTCAGTGGTGATTAGACCAAACAGCGATAATATCCCAGTTTAATTATCGGACTCTGCGATGTAAATGGCGACGGGCTGTAATTACTTGATCTTCGATTCACAATACCGGCGACTAAAAAATTCATTGAACAACATAACTGCCTCATATTTGAGACTTTGCACGCTCCCGTTCAGTAGGGTTATAACTAATGAAATATTAGCTTCCTGTATTTCTCCTTAACTTGGTCAGAGACTACAGACCGTAGAAGTTTTTCGATTAAATCAACATGGGTCATTATCATTCTGCGACAGCAATACCGTTTGCATCCTAACTGATCCATTGCATCGCTTAACAATATGTCAGTATTGATGGTAAGCTTTGAGGGGGCAGGAATATATACAAGACTTACCCATCCGGAATGCCTTCATCCAGGAGCTGAAGGTAGCGCTCCCAGAGATCTCCAACAACCTGATGGAATTTAGTACCCCCAAACGCATCGATTTTCCGTCTGATACTCACCTTCCCACAGGAGAAACAGCGAACAGGAATAATCATTTGAGCTTAATATGGCCGGAAGCCGAGGAGTTGGAGATGGTCTTATCGAAAAATTGATATTATAGAAATTGTTGTTTAACAAAGAAGGTATTGTTGGTCACTAGTGATAATCCTTGTTCATCATCTAGGTTTCCAATAGTTCCTCTGTACTACAAAAAAAGTATTGAAAGTATTTCCAAACTGAAATGTGGGTCTGATTACCTATGTAGTAGACTCTTAGGTAACTAACTAGGTACTCTGTAGTTACGGAGGACTCCGTACAAGGTAGTTAGCCGCTGCGGCGCCAAAGATGTGTGGGGAGGCGAAAGAAAAAAAAAACGGGACTGAAGACAGGATAAAAAATTAGCAACAATCATGCTCTTCATCCTATTCAGTGTATCCTTTTTTTAAACTCAATTACTTTCATCAGAACAAGACAGAAATCTAAAGTGCTAATACTCTAAGTGCTTTACCCTAATCATAGATAGTTTATTATCATGATGGGTATTAAGCAATCACTTCCTCCTTCTAAAAGGTCACGCAGCAGTGACATGAGCCTAGATATAGACTCATATGAATCATCTGAGAGGGCGAAGCGACGTTGCTCCTCTCATCAAAATATTACTGATCTTCACCTATCTTCTGCTACTGAAATGGACGTGCAGACTATTGATTCTCAAAGGCCTCAAGAACAGTGTACTGGACGGTGGTCCATCTCGCGACCTGTTGCCGGGGTCTATAGCAATCTAGATCCAGTATTCAGCCTAGATGAAAAGTATGGCTTTCTCTTCCTCCGTTAGCATTGACCACCTTCTGATGATATGTGAAAGGTATCTTTTCATCGGTCTCGAGACTGCCGTGCGGGTTTACACTATTTCTACCTCATGCCTCCTACGTACCTTGCACATGAAATCCGGGCATCAACTTGTCGCGTATAGGCTCTGTCCCATGAATCCAGAACATCTCTACATATTCTCCTCGTGCGGCAATACCAGCAATGTCTACAAATGGGAATGGGCATCGGGTAGACTTATCTCACAAAGTGAGATGAAGCATAAACTACTCTACATTGATCTATGTTATAGTGAGCAGGCCGATATCAAACAGACTTTGGCTTGTACCATACGGAAGCGCAAAGATGGAAAATTTGAACTCGCTCTAAGACAATGCCTCGATAATAACGAAGAACCTGAAACGACCATATTTGAGACCTCCAAGCGGATGAACCTTATAAGGGTTGCACACCAAGGCCGAGTGATAGTCGTGTGTGATGGCCAGAAGCTTCTTGTCGGCAGGTCAGAGAAACGGGATACGTCCATTTCGAAGGATATACAGTATAGCTGGCGCGAAATGAATCTACCAACCCATGTCACTTCCCTGGATATCCGCGAATGCGCACCATCTAAAAGGCCTGTTTTTGATGGTCTGAACAGGGAGGAGGGTATAGAGTCTGTTGATCTTATTTTGGGTGAATCAACCGGATCCATTGCCATTCTCTATGACCTTGTACGCACTGTACAGACGAGTCAAAGTGGCCATGAAAACAAGAAAGACCGGTCTTTGAGGCGCATTCATTGGCATAGAGGTCCTGTGAATACTTTACGCTGGTCAAAAGATGGTTCGTTCAAATATCTGTTACTACCCGGGGTTTTCAAAACTGACTCGGCATCTAATTGTGCTTTTTAGGACACTACGTCATATCAGGAGGCTCAGAATCAGTAATGGTTTTATGGCAACTAGATACTGGAAGAAAGCAATTTCTCCCTCATCTCTCTGCTCCCATATGCAACATAGCTATTTCTCCAATTGGAGACTTGTACGCTGTTAAGCTCGCAGATAATTCCATCTTGGTACTGTCGGCTCGAGAACTGAGGCCACATGCTCTCATCTCTGGATTGCAACTCTCGTACCAAGGCAACATGGTTGATGGGGGGAGCACAGTTCCTTCACAAAATCCCATCTCTGTTGTCCATCCTCGCAATCCCGATCAACTCCTAGTGGTCTTTCCTACATTGTCTCGGTCTCCTCAAGGAGATCAAAACATCTCCAACACTTCGATACTTCAGACTTATGATCTGCGTACTAACAACCATATCTCGCGCCAGGCTCTTTCCCGAACCAACACCACTTCTTTACCTGTTGGCCCCGATGGGAACGCCATTGTGCCACCAGGCATCGAGCTCATGGATGTTACCCACGATGGGCAGTGGCTTGCCACGGTTGACGACTGGCATCCATCGATTCAAGGCTGCAAGGCTTTGAGAGGACGGACTAATTCATTCGAGGATAGTCCTCTGGAAGGCAGAGAGGTTTTCCTGAAATTTTGGAAATGGAATTCTCTCTCAAATTCATGGGAGCTGTTTACCCGTGTGGGAGGGCCTCATTTTTTAAAGCAGGCCTCTGTCTCTGTACTCGGTCTCGCCTCGAATCCTCGGAGCCACGAATTTGCAACTATGGGAGCTGACGCAACCCTGCGTATTTGGTCTCCCACTGCGAAAAGACGAAGCCGGCTACCGTCCAAACCAATTGCGAAGGAGTCTTTCGAAACCTGGAAATGCCGACTCACTGTCGATTTGAGTGGATATCTCGGTTGTGCGAAATCAACTCCTCTAGTTTCAGCCTCTTTGTGCTTTTCAGAAGATGGGTCGGCTCTTGCTATATGCGGTCAGATTGGATCGAAATCATGCCATGGACTTACATTTCTCGTTAATACAAAGGAGGGACGTATCTGCCACGTTCGAGATGGGATATTTTCGGGTACTCTGTTTTCCGTCAAGTTTCTTGGGAAATATCTCGTAACTGCCACAGATAAGTCGGTATCAGTTTGGGATATGGTTGAGGATTTTATCAAGACAGTTGAAATACCTGGATTTGGCGCAACGGAGTCCACGGGTGCCTCTTCATGCCTTTTAGCTGTGGATAGGAAGACCTATACATTTGCCCTCGCCAGTGCTCTACCTGCTTGTTCAACATCTTCGGCCAAACGGCGCTCAAAAGCAAAATTCCACTTCCAGATCTATGGGGTGCGCTCCTTGGCTCTGGAAGAACATCGCAGACTTAGGGATCGTCCTCTGAGCTTGGTCTCTGATCCTCATTCTTCCGGTTATATCATGGTTGATGCGGCGGCTAATGTTACACGGTTTGCGGCCTCGGATCAGGGTTCTCCTGTTGCCTTTGAGTCCCCTGATCGATACCCTCAAGCAGACAAGGGTCTTTCGAATGTCTGGGTGACTCGATTTCAAACCGGGGACAACGGGCATCGTTTGGAAGCGACGGCTACGGACGCCTTAGACAAGTCACCTACGACTACCACAGGATTCAAGGGTGTTTTTGGCGGTTTTTCATCTTCCAGTATGCCCTCTCTTGATGCTATCTTCCGAGAAATGGTACGTTCTGTGGCCTAAGTGCTACATTAAACGGGATTTTGCATCATATGATCTGTATGCCACCGGCTATGCTGGCTTCCTTTTTCCTGTACAATAGACACTTCGGCATCTGTTTAGTGGGATGCCTGGTCTACAATATATGGATTTTCTTGGTTCTTGCTTCCCGTTATTTGGTTGTGCTATGTGGTACTAGTTCTATGTTTCTCTGGCCAGTATTATTGTTGATACTTAGAATATCTCCTTTGTTTCTGCCTTTGTTTCTGTTTCTAATTGGTTTCTTCTGGGGACCTGTGATGCTTATTGAGGCTTAAGACCTTTTATCTTACCTAGTTATCCTATCCTCTTAAGAGACTGTCTCAATCATCTGTTGTTGTGCAACGCCCAACGCAACAAATCAAAAAACAAATGGTCACAATTTCCTATAGGTTATAATATAACTATATCTCTTCAGATATTACACTGGTTAAAATCTTTTATGTGATGGGGGCTTATTAAAGTGATGGATCACTGGCTAATCAATAAACAGGTTAGTTTAAGTATCTATATATAATTTGTACATTTAGGCTGTTTCGGTCCCTGTTGTTTATTTGGAGATATTATGTAAAACTTAGAGATATATGATGGACTGACTAGGGATTCCCTAAAGGCTGAATAGGTTAAGAAGCGTGATATCTAGATGACATGCTACAAAGGCCCTTTTTATACCCGAAAACCTATCATTTGCCAAGGGCCTCAGTCCAAACAACATATTGCCATCGGGGTTTCAAGGGGATTGCCGTTTGATCGTGGGCTAAATTTCAAACAGCTTAATATCTGCGTCAGTCGAGGTTAACCGCAGCGAGGGGCCGAGTAATCAATATAATGGGAGCCGACCGTTGGCATTATTGGCAGTTGCTGATATCCTCCTATCTGCTGATCAGTATCAGGCCTGCACAGCTCCTTCGACATATTAAAGTATATATATGCTGCTCTTATGTTGACCTCGGCTAGTATATAATGAATAGGTAGGTGCCTTTGGGGGCCTAGGTATAAGCTGGTACTAGGTTCTAGGCTTTCAGATATATTTATTTATAATATCTACAGTAGTTTATTATACTATACTTTAATGATAATATTGATAACCCTTTAATATAAACTTATAATTATTTCTCTATAAAGGGAATAATTCAGTAATGTTACAGTGAGAACTAAGACTATAGTTAATATATAACTAATATATAATATCTATATTATCTACTAACACTACTACTTTAAGTGCTGATATAACCATTTTAAGCTATTTATATCTCAATATATATTAAGCTTGTGAATCATACTCAATAAGTAAAAAATATGTTATTTTAGGAGATAAAATAAGCATATGGCTTACTTTAAAAATCACTAAGAAAGTGAACAGTGTACCAAAATGACAGAGTTCACCCTTGAGGGTCAAGAGGAACTGTATAAAAACCAAAAATCAAATATTAAAAATACTCACGGAGCCTGACCAGTCAAACAACCTAGTAAATCCAATGGGATAGACTTGCTACTATAGAATAAAATGCCGTAAAGCCCATTCATTCTTGATAAACTGATAGAATCATCTCATGCCCGTAGACATAATGTACAACCGTCGAATAAGCTAAAATAAGGAAACAAGAGCCATAACTTGCCCAGTCCAGAACCCCATTATTGCATCAATAACTGAACCAAACCGCGCCAGTAAAAATAAGAAACCCACGAAAAACAAAAAACTACAGCTCCTGGCTAGGGCCCTTTCCACTCTTGGGAGTCTTCTTCGGAAGAAGATTCTGGTGGATGTTGGGAAGAACACCACCCTGTGCGATAGTAACGTGACCCAGAAGCTTGTTCAGCTCCTCATCGTTCCGAATCGCAAGCTGCAGGTGACGAGGGATGATACGGGTCTTCTTGTTGTCACGGGCAGCGTTGCCGGCCAGCTCAAGAATTTCAGCGGCAAGGTACTCAAGCACAGCAGCGAGGTAGACGGGAGCACCTGATTACTATCAGCTAGGCCCGCATGACAGAAAGAGAATATAAAAATGATTGACATACCAGCACCCACACGCTGGGCGTAGTTACCCTTGCGAAGCAGACGGTGAACACGACCAACAGGGAACGCGAGACCAGCCTTGGAAGAGCGCCTAATATAACATGTTAGACTCCATGCACCGTCTAGCTGGATTTCACTGAAAAATGGGAATACTCACGACTGCGCGTTCTTGGTGCCGCTAGCCTTGCCGCCAGACTTGCCTCCGGTCATTTTGATGGTTAGATTTCGAATGAAATAATATGGAAGATTTGAAAAGTAAGAGTGAAGTGAGGACCGTGTACGAAGCAGCAAGTGTGTGAGGAACAGCAATAAGGTACTGTGGTTGAGCGCGAGACAGTAGAGGACATATATAAAGACACGGGAAAGGTGACGTTAGGTGGCCCAGATGCTGTTTAGATCACCTTCTCGCTTAGCGTGGATGGCCAATTATATGGGAGATCATATAGTGGTGAGCGCGTTGCTGAATGGGTAGATTCAGGTGGGTCAAGTCGCGTTGGCTTCACAGATCAAGGCAAGCGCGGTAATTAATTTATGTACGGGCTCTGACAAGCATTGTATCGTGATCTCCACGTGTTTTACCAGCAAATTATCGCGTCTTCCCCTCGCTAATCATACAGATCATACAGAACCATTACGGTATCGAAATTCCGCCCCGATTGCACACATCAGGATCAACAGCGGTTTCACGGGCTGGTATAAGTACGCCGCTTCCGTCTGTCGCGTCAAACTTGTTCCCATTTGTTTTCTATCCACTCTGACCCAGCCTCGAACCTACAGATCACCCACACGTGCCATATAATAATCTCGCCTTCACCAAATTTCATCTATTTACATATTCAAACGACAAAATGCCCCCTAAGGCCGCTGAGAAGAAGCCCAGCACCGGTGGCAAGGCCCCGGCTGGCAAAGCTCCCGCTGAGAAGAAGGAGGCGGGCAAGAAAACCGCGACTACCGCCTCTGGCGAGAAGAAGAAGCGTGGCAAGACCAGGAAGGAAACCTACTCGTCTTACATCTACAAGGGTATGTTGAACATCTAGATATTTCGGGATTATTGTACTAATCCGCCACAGTTCTCAAGCAGGTTCACCCCGATACTGGTATCTCGACTCGTGCCATGTCTATCCTGAACTCCTTCGTGAATGGTACGTCTCTAATTGCTCTTATCTATAAACTCTTTACTAACAAGAAATAGACATCTTCGAGCGCGTTGCCACGGAAGCTTCCAAGCTCGCCGCCTATAACAAGAAGTCGACCATCTCGTCGAGGGAGATCCAGACGTCGTACGTGATCCTGTGGAATCTATCATTATACTTGATGCAAACTAACGTGTTCTCAGTGTGAGACTTATCCTGCCTGGTGAACTTGCCAAGCACGCGGTGTCGGAAGGCACCAAGGCGGTTACGAAGTACTCTTCTTCTGCTAAATAAACATTTTTTTTTTCATTTCCTTGGTTGCCGGCTTGTTTTTAACCGTCTTTGATATTTCACAGCTCTGAGGCGGCTGGTTATTGGGTGTTCTCGGGATTTCTAATGTGACATGGGATGGCTTTTCTTTTTATTCCCTATAGGGTCGACTGTTTTTATGGTTTCGAAACTGCAATGCGGTGTAACATAACTCATCCGGAGCTGGTTGCGTTCCACCATCAGAGCTAGCAATTCATGATATTTAAACAAAAATCCAAATGCATGATATTAAGAGCCGCATTCGATATTTTTTGCGATAGGCAATGCTTAAACTTCACTGGTAAGACAATAATCGTTGACCTGTCATCGCTAATGTTGCTTGAACCAAAGGTCTCTGTTTGATATCCCCTAGTTTTCTTCGAATTCATCATCTAGTACTTCAACTTCGTCCAACGCCTCTTCCCGCTCCTGAACTTGGTTCTGCTGGATGCCTTCACTTGATATGTTGATGATGCTTTTCCCTGAGGTTGCAGCGATTCGCATTTTGAAGTCCTCCCAGTCTTCATTATCCCTGATGAGAAATCCGATTAACATGCTTGGGTCCATATCTTTGATGTGTAGCCTTCTGATTCGACGAGTATGATATGAATCTAGCTCTTCTGTGGAGTACAGCTGTGGATATTCGGGGTATGGCAGGGCAGGACGTGTATGATGTGGATCCAGGTAAAACAGATACGACCCTTGGACACCTAGGAAATAGTGGGAGGCAGATGGGCGTCCTCTATGTGTTGGCATTGTTAGCGAATGCCTCACGGGGATGTTACTCATGACCATCCCACTTACCCTGCAATTCCTATAGACTGGGGATATTTCAATGCAGCTTTCAGTCCATCCCAGTAAACCTTCGTAACATGATCTATTCCAAGTCTAATTCCTAGAAGGATGAGAGTCGGACGTATGGAACCAGATCCACCGCTAGCGATCTCGATGAACCTGTCTTCGAAGACATCCGAGGTATCATTGGTGACGTAAACATTTAACGCGGGAGAATCTAGCTTCTTCGACAACGCTCTGTTTCAACAGTGAGACTGGCGTCTTTATCAGGTATGTCCTCGAACCTACTCTATGCACTTCGCTGTTGCTGAAGGGCCAAACCATTCCCCTGGGTATTTTTGGCAGTACTCAGCACCATGTCTCACAAAGCGATGAATGGAAAATCTGGCGTCTGGGTGGTCGGCAAAGAGGGAGAGTAGTTGCGTTTCGAGCTCTGGATTGCTTCCTCGGCGCCATTCTAACATCGAGTATGATCAATATTGTCCATTTCGTACATTGCTTTGTGGAAGGGCTGACATACCGCGACCAAGCATTAATATCGAGAGTGCATTTGCAAGTAGACTCTGTCCTGATCTGATCATACATCCCCAGCCCGTGTCGGATGTGAATCCTTTGCAGTTGTCGGTGATCTGGTTTCGGAGACGGACACTCAAGGTTAGGGCATTATTATGGTGCTCTACCCTGGGTATTATAGGGAAGTTTGAGCGGTACGTGATCCATATTCTCGATTCGAAATCATTGAGAAATGCCTCTGGCCAGCCGTGGTTGGATATCTCTTGATATATTTCATGTTTGACTGGTAGTGAATCGCCGGTGTGATTTTCCTCGAAGTTAGCAGTAGATGATTTCGGGGATTCTTCGCCAGTTTTTTGGCCAGCGTCGACACTCGGGTCACTTGGGCTTCTTCCGATTCTCGAGGACCAAGCCCGGTTCGTATATTTCGTACCTAGACACCAGATGGAGCCTCCTTGGTCTTCGTCGTTCTTAGGCTCTGGGTCCCAGAAATACTGTACGATCCGTCTGTATCTGCTCAGATCAATATTGTTCATTGTCTGTGAGGTGGGAATCAGGTATAGTTGTTATCAGGATGATCGTATCTGTTTGGAATAGTTATATAACCACCTCCCTAGGTAGTTGATGTAACTTTAAATGTTGTTATGTAGGGTGGGGTATTATTTATCAGGCAGTTGACTTATTGCGAAGCCTATTTAAAATCCACGTTCATTAAATATTGTCCAAACCAGCTTCCTCACTTCTGGGTCCGGAGTGCAGTTTTAGATATTGGTAGGTGGTAGTTTAGGTAGGTGGTTGAATCAGCCAATGACTTAATCTAGCACTTTGGGGTATCTTGGCGTATTGGCATGTTTTATGGCATTTTATTGGGTATGGTACAGTTTGATGATCTATCCTGCAAAGCATGGTATTTAGATACTGCTGATACAAAATATATAATTATATATACTGAGCCACTCTTAGCTGGGTGAAGACTAGCTATTTGCCCCTAGTTAAGTGTTTGAACCAAACAGAAAAAAAGAGAAGATACTCTGTAGACACTATGAAATTTTTTATATACTTGTCCATTAGGCTTGCTGTTATTCTGGGGGGAAATGGCGAAATGCATGTCATGTGACCCATTATGTCATAATGATAATACAACTACTCCGTATCTAGATAGCAGAAGCTCTGAATGTTCTGGCAGATAGTAAGAGAATATTATGAATGTATGTAATCTTGGCATCATTATGACTCTATAGTTTTCTCTAAGTCCTTTATCAACCTGAAATACTGTTTTACTAAACCAGAAAGTACCCAAACAAGCGGCAACAGCAGTTGCAGTATACGAACAGAAAGGTAACTGAAGTACTTGAATGTTTATGTCAATCCGAGAATCACCTGAAGGTTGCCCCCCTCCATGACTATATATTAGCTCACTAACGGAATGAGCAAGATCGAATTATATTTCTGACAACAAAAATACTGGATCGACTTGCAAGGAGGGCCATTTCAATGGCGTGGTACTGCTCTGGCTCATCCAACAAAGAGCTGGTTGAGAACCTGTTTAGCGCAGGCCTCGTGAAGAGTGAACGAGTAAAGGCTGCTATGCTAGGCGTGAGACTCGCCTTTTCCTCCATCGGAAGAAAAATTTTAATGACCCGTTGGTTACCAAAGTTTTCCTAACAATATCTCAAGGTCGACCGGGGACACTACGCTCCCTTACAGCCCTATTCAGACTCACCCCAACCTATTGGACATGGAGCGACCATCTCAGCACCACACATGCATGTTCATGCGTGTGAATATCTTATCAACTACCTGAGACCGGGCTCACGGGTCCTGGATATCGGATCTGGATCTGGCTACCTAACCCACGTTTTCGCTAACCTCGTGGCGAAGGACTCATCTACTGACAGCACTGATGGACAGGTGATTGGAATCGACCATATCCCAGAGTTAATTGACCTGGCCCGCAGAAATATGGGCCGGTCTGAGGATGGTAGGAGACTGCTTGAAACCGGAGCTGTCAAATTTATAACAGCCGATGGTCGCCTGGGTTGGAAGGAAGAAGCGCCGTACGACGCCATTCATGTTGGAGCGGCGGCTGAGAGCCTTCATGCTGTCTTGATCGAGCAACTCCGGGCTCCAGGTCGGCTTTTCATCCCCGTGGAGTCTGAACATCGACATGGTGCCATCGGAAGCCTTGGATTGGGCAGTGAAGGGCAGTATATCTGGGTCGTTGACAAAAAACAAGACGGTTCAATCCACAAGGAGAAAGTTTTTCAAGTCAGTTATGTGCCTCTGACCGGTCCCCCGGAAAAGTAAGGGATTGGATTCCCGCCCAAGGTATGCCTGTCTTGCCATATCTAGCGAGAGATCGGAAGCCGCGTCCATTTCTCTGATGGCCTTCATCTGCGAATATGGTTAGTTACGGTGGGACATGGAATCAAATTGATGATCAAGAGCATCCCTAATTGGCTATTCCCCATCAATCATGCCCGGGTGTAAGAACTGGCTATTTTTGCAGTAGAAAAATGTATTTAGTAGATGTGATGAATGTGATCCCAATTTACCTTAAAGAACTCCGCAGAGGTTGGCTCGCGTAGAGATCAGTCCAAACCAGAAACACATGTATACGCAAAGGCTTCATTGGCACAAGTATTTGAAAAGAAAAAAGGGCGTGTCTCACTGTTGAAATAAGTCAATCACGAGAGATGGAGATATTCCTCGCCAATGTGAAACAGCCATAGGACCAAGAGTTAAGAACGAAGTAGTAGAATACAACGATGTAAAGAGAAAGTCCTTGTATGCTACCACTCTTTCCCGTCACCTGGTGCCCGTTGCTCGACCCGTACGACCTTGTCGCAATTAAGAAGGCAAAGAGGATCAAACGCCAATTTCAACTGAATATCACATGTAAGTCATTGAATACCACAGAAAGTGCGCAATTAAATGGCGGTGATTGATGACTTACTCGTCGCATAGCATCCACTGCAGATTCTCCAATCTCATGTTCTATATAATCCCGTTTGACGAGGCCGACGCCATGTTCACCTGTCACGGTACCCTCCATCTCAACAGCTCGCTTCACCATTCTATGAACCACACCCTCAGCAAGCTTCTTCTCCTTTGCGTTGAATAAAATTATTGCTAATATAAATATTAGTCTCACTCGTGAACATGATAATGAAATTGACATATGGACATGTGGAAAAGGGGACAAAGAAAAAAAATCTTACCGTGGAAATTGCCATCCCCGACGTGTCCACAGATACCTGCAATAAGTCCGCTTTGGGATATGTCCTGCTTTGTTGCTTCGATTATGTCGGGCAGCCTGCTGATGGGAACCGCGACGTCAGTAGTCCAGACCTGATCATCTGGGTTACGCTTCATCGCTATCACACTCCAAAGAGCTGCTTTCCGAGCGCTCCATAGCTCTCGCACCTCCTCATCACCACGAGCGAATTCGAATGATCGACCGGCTGTGCTTTTGACTATTTCCTGTACCATATTGATCTGTTCCTTGATCGCGACTGGTGTTCCCGTGAATTTGAAGAAAATCGTGGGTGCTTCACTCCATTCCCGGCTGGTTGATTTGCTGGCATTGATACATTTCATTTGGACATCATCTAAAATTTCCACACCAGCGACCGGTATACCCTCTTTCACCACACGTGTGACGCACTCGGCAGCAGCATGAACTGTCAGAAAGCTAGCAACAGCAACACTTTCATTCTTTGGCTTGACTGTGAGCTTGAGCGTTGCTTCAGTCACGAGGCCAAGAGTCCCTTCACTTCCAATGAAAACTTTTGTAAGATCATATCCAGCACTCGACTTCCGCGGCCTTTGTCTCGTCTTGATGATTGTCCCGTCTGCAAGAACAACTGTCAGTGATAGCACCCATTCCCTCATTGTGCCATATCTGTAAGCGTTCGTCCCTGAGCAGCCAGTTCCGACCATACCGCCGATCATAGCCCCGGGGCCTGGATCAGGCGGGAAAAACAATCCATCCTTTGCAAGTTCCTCATTCAACTCCTCCCATCCAAGGGCGGGTTGCACAACAACATCCAAATCCTCTTGGTGAATTTTCAGAATCCTATTCATGCGATTGAAATCAATACACACACCCCCTCTCGTAGCAGCAAAATGACCTTCCAGACTGGTACCACCAGAATATGGTGTCACTGGAATAAGTCTTTCATGGCAGACCTTCATAATCTGAGAGACTTCTTCGGTGGTTGAGGGATATACAACAAGAAACGGCTTCTCGCTGTCTTTTCGAGAGTATGATGACCAGTCAGATCCAGCATGTGCATCTACATCTAATCTGTCTGTAGACACATTCTCCTTGCCCAGAATGCTCACAAAATCGGCCCACGCTGCCTGGAGGTTGGATTCCGACGTGTCATGCTGTGGGGGCTGCGCATCCACAAGGGGAGTTGTTGAAGATTTGGGTAGGCTGGCAGGTTTTAATGACCCGAGATAATATGACCCTGCTGAGAAAAACACCAGAGCTGTGTGTTACTTGGTTAGTTTCGTTTACTGCAGAGACCTAACAGTAGAATAGAGTGGAAGGAGAATGAATACACACCAAATAGTAAAGCAGCCTGACGTCCACTGGAGGGTTGATTTTGGTATTGAGCGAAACGCTCTTGCTCTGCGCGTTCGCGTTTTAGGCGTTGCTGGGTGCTCTCATATAATTGGCTTTTGAATGATTGGAAGTTCCCTTCGCTATTATTTCTGGAAGTGAAGCTGAAGTGCCGGGAGCTTTTCGGTATCAAGGGGCCTGAGTTCGCGAGTCTTTTGGAAGACAGAACAGTTCTTAAAAGATAAGAACCCCTGACCATTGTGTTAAAAGGTATTCAAATATTAAGAATAGCCAAGACTGATGAGCATCGGAATAATTTGCTAGCATCAGAGGTTTGTCTATTCTTACATCCTTCTTGTATCAGTGGGCCCTTCATCGGTTTACGCCGCCTCTAGATTAGCGCATTAAGCTCCCCGTGATCCCGTCATGAGCAACGTGTGAGATGGTCAGCACTTCTACACCAGGACGTACATAAATTATCAATATAATCTCATCTGGCGCCATGGTGCGCCAGAGGGGGCTTTCAAATGCCTCAAATAACTCTACTATTTTAGAGCGGAACCAGGTAGGGCAAAAACGTTACTTGGGCGTTTCCCATAGTCACTGTGCAACACTCAATATCCGAAATAGTAATTCTAATATCCTCAGGAGCTAGGGAGCATGTATGATTATCTTGCCAAGATAATTTTACTTGGACCAAGTGGCGCGGGAAAGTAAGGCTCCTTGTTCGCCTACTATTCTTTTCTTCTTGTGCTGACACTGCTCTATATTAAAAGGTCTTGCGTATTACATCGATTTGTGAAGGATGAATGTGAGGCTCGATTCCCCAAATGAGCCTCATAATATCACGAGAATAATGTCGAGCTGTATGATCGGCTCACTAATACAAACATTCGCCTTTAGGGAGAGTGTTATCGTCACAAACAATCGGAGTCGAGTTCTCTTCGAAGATCGTGAAGCTAGGATCCGGTTCACAACGGAAACGAATCAAATTGCAGCTTTGGGATACAGCTGGTACTGAGCGGTTTCGTTCAGTTTCAAGATCATATTACCGAGGAGCTGCGGGTGCGATCCTGATATATGATGTTACGTCTTATGCATCCTTCGCTGCTCTGCCGACATTTCTTATGGATGCCCGAGCCCTTGCATCTCCAAACCTCACTGTCATTCTTGCAGGGAACAAATCCGATCTTAATACCGATCCCATGTCACATGGTATCATGGATGAAAACATGCGACCTCCCCCAACCCCTTCTAGCACATCAAGCAAGCAATCGTCGTCATTCCCTCTCGATTCAAGTAGTGGTTCTGTTCGATCAATATCTGGATTTGGGGCCGGGACAAAAATGACCGCCACATCTGCCCCCCATGGCCGAGAAGTCAGTTCCGAGGAAACTACCAATTGGGCCGCCAAATCGCATATTCCTGTCGCCGTTGAAATATCAGCCTTGACCGGCGAAGGGGTGGAGGAGGCATTTACTCGACTGGCTCGCATCATACTAACCAAGATCGAGCTTGGTGAAATCGATCCCGATGATTCACAAAGTGGAATCCAGTATGGAGATAGCGGGTTATTCGGCCACGGAACTAGCGAGGCTTCAAGCATTCGAAGCGGGATGACAGTTGATGACAATGCCGTTCAGCTCCAGAATCAGAATATTCGAAGGCGGAAGGCGAAAAATACCTGGAGAAACGGGATGCGGGAGTGGGAAGACGTATTCCAGCTCAGTGGATCACATACTAAGAGGAATCGAGGTTGCTGCTAATCTCATTCTTCATGTCGATGTCCTTTGTCTCCCGTTGATGCCGAGTTCTTTCTGATTTTCATCAACTGCCACATTAATAACATCCCAAACACTCTTTACAGTCATTGTTTTCGTTATTGTATGTATCTTGACTCTTCGACTTTTTTTTCAACCGTCTGGGCGCATACACATATAACGCATCTATTTCAGGCTGTTTATCTATGATTCGACCTTGTCATGGATCTGGTTTGACTTGACTTCATTCTTGGTGCCCTTTTCATCACAAATCCTTTCGCTGGGCCTGATTCAAGTATTTAGGTCTTTCATTTTTAGTTTGGTGCGATACCCCATCTACATTCGTTTGAAATCTTCGCTTCTCTACTTTTTCGATCGTTTGTCTATCAAGTATTCTTCTGGGACGTCTCATTTACTGTCGTCTAATACAGAATTATCCAGCATTGCTTTTTATGATTGGTTGCAGCTCTCGAGCTATTATTGCCCTAGATCAGTGCAGCCCGCAAGCCCCCTTTATCCAATAATCAAAAACATACTCCGTAGCCTGACTCCCAAAATGTTGTAAACAAATTCAACACACTTGTGACTAGTAAGCAAGGAAGTCCACATGGAAATAATTATTAATAGACATGATTTCTTAATTAAGATGCATACATTTGAGAAAATATCCCATATCATTTTACCCTCATCGAAATATCTTTTACTCCTCCACCCCAGCAATAAGGGTCTTGATACCTTTTCCAGATTTGACGGCCATAAAGGCTTGCTCTGCTTCCTGAAACTTCACGGTGCCCGTAATCAAATCCTTGACATTCACCTGTCCCGATGCCACCAGGCTCACGGCGAGCTTGTAGTCTCCACTGCCATATCGAAAGCTACCCTTAACATTCAGCTCTTTGGTGCAAGCCGCCATGATAGGAAATTGGATCTCGTTCTTTCCCATACCACCTTGCACGTAGGTACCACCGGTTCTGAGGACGTGAATACCTGTGTGCACCGAGGGCTCAGCGCCTGAGGCATCGATAGCTACATCGGCACCTGGGCCCAGGCCATTCTCCTTGATTAGGCGAGCTGCGTTTTCTGTTGCAGGCACAGCTGAGGGCGCGAAAATAGAAGTGGCGGCGTAGTTCTTGGCGAATTCCAATCTAAGCGGTTGGATGTCTACGGCAATGACCTTGGAGGCACCGAAAGCCCTGGCCACGGCGCAGCACAATAATCCAACAGGTCCAGCCCCGAAAACCACAACTGATTGACCTGGACGAACATCTGCCTGTCTCACTATATGCACTGCGACGCCAAGAGGTTCCATCAAAGCACCTTCTTGTAGGGAGATGGTTTCGGGAAGTTTGTAGCAGAAATCCTCAGGAAGTACATAGTACTTGGCCAGAGTGCCATCAATCGGAGGGGTAGCTGCAAATACCATGTTGATGCAAAGGTTATATTTCCCGGCCTTGCAGGGCTCACATCGACGGCATGGAACTCCCGGCTCCATGGCGACGCGGTCTCCAACTTTCAAAGACGTGACTTCAGATCCGACCTTAGAAACGATACCGGAAGACTCGTGACCCAAGACCATGGGATCCTTAACGACGAATTGACCGATTGCACCATGTTCCCAGTAGTGGACCTGGAAACGAAAGGGAAATGGTAAGTGATGCTGCCATATATGGACTGCCCATCATTCAACTTAGAACTCACGTCACTACCACATATACCGGTGTACTTGACGGTAACAAGAACATCGTGAGGTGTTTTCAATTCAGGGATCGGTCGGTCCTCAAACTTCACTTTGTGAATTCCCTCGAGAACAAAGGAGAGGTTCTGAAAGCCGAAGTAAGTAAGTTGTTCGATTCTGCAAATCTGGAAATTCAGATCAACGATTTCACCTGTTCTGTGCCGCTCATTTTTCCTTTTCTTTTGGTCGTTGAAGTGATCAAAATATGAGTCTTGAATGGATCCCCGGGATAGAATGATCTATAGTTATCAAGGAAATAACACTCGATGAGAAATATACTTTATAGGGAAGGCCCCGTGGAATAAGGCGTTACAGATCAGAAAAAGAAATTCAAGTGGGATGCTCGTATTTCTACCCAACACTTATACCCTACTTCAGTATTATACTAGTCTTCTGGCGAGAGTGGTGGGATGGTGTTCCCCGCCGGTGAAGAGGGGAAATATACTCATGATGCGTGACTGCACTGGTGGGGCCCTGCGAAATTAGCCGTAAGTACCTAGGTACAGACTACGTAGTACGGGATTTCGGAGTAGTTATTTCAGTCGTCCACCCGAGTAAAGCTTATGATTTAACCGTAGGAAACCAACCCGAAGGCCTAGAGCACACTCCGGAGTAGGTAGAGTTCTCCGTAAGCAAACTTGGTTGGCTACTAACTAGCTAGCTAGTAACTACCTAGGTAGTTTATATGGGTACCTAAGTACATAACTTAAGGTAGTTACAGGTAGTTAGTTATGCTATGAATACGTATAAGGTCCGCTAGACATGGATAGATGTATTTGTACCTGTATTCCGACTATAATGAGGCCATCTGAAAACTGGGAAGTTAATATAGTCTAATTATATATATTTATATCTTTAACTATGATATAGTAAGACTTGGATTCTATAAGAATTTGATAAATTGAATCTTAAAAGGTAATTCATATCTACTACTAATATTTATAGACAAATAATCCAGCCTTCTTAATAAATAAACCCTGTGAAAGCCGATATGAAATTTATATATCTGCTGTTAATGTAGGCTCTGCAGAAATTGTACAACCTATAACTGCTACACGGAAATCTATTTGCAGAGTCAGGAATAATCAAGCAGCCCACCGTTTAGAGCGTGGTTATCCATCCATACAGAATACCAGCACAACAGAGAAAAGAACAGACAGGCAGAATGCAGAAAGATAAGAGGGCAGAAATCTGTGTGTCCCCTTCCTGGGAGAGCCGTGCTGCACGCAAGCAAGAGAAACGAGTCACCAAGCGTCTAGAGGCCGAACGGAAGGAGTTTGAAAAGCGATTGAAAAGGCTCGAAGAAGACCAGTCGCGACTGGATGCTATAGCACTTGGAGTTTCTTCCCATCGCCTTACCAAAAAGCCTCCATCAGTTAGCTCCAGCAGGGCTTCGAGCGTGGTCTCGAACACATCCAGATCATCCAGCCACATCACTTCCTTCTTCTCTGGTTCACGGTATCTATTTCGACCACGATCAGGGTCTGCAGGCGGAGATGGCCCCTCTAAATTTAAAGACCTTTCAATGAACACCCCGTCCAGAAGATCATCAACTGACCGTCCTTGTACAAATCCAACGCCTGAATTGTCATTGACTTCACCGGAGCGCTTTGGGGATGTGGCATGGAAAGAGTTAAACACCAAGAGTACTGGTAATATGCCCACTGGCTATAAAAGCTCATCCTCCAAGAGAGAATTGGACCACAGGAATGCCCAACCTTTCAGTCTTCAAGACTCAAGGTCAAATTTTGCAATGGTTTCGAAAAGAGCTCTCCAAAAAAAAGAAACGGTATCCGGGAAAGAATCTGTAAATATTGGCCGCAGAAAGCCAATTGATATATCCAACCAATCTTTAACAAAAATGCAATCTAGTCCTGGAGATCCAGACCACCTCTCGTTCATGGCCCCCCTCAGAAATGCCGAGAAAGACCGACTTACAGCATCCAACGAGAATACTCCTCCCATAAGAAAGCCAGATGCAGATGATTCAAGCGATACCTATAACCAGGACGAACCCAATTCAAGCACAAATCCCAGAAGTCCTCAGATCATAGAGAGATCTGGGTTTCCCAGGTTTTACAATCGCAGCCATGGTTTATCACCGAGACTAAATGATATCCCGAATACAGGAGTTATGCAGCCTGCATCGTCCTCGTCTCACAGAGAATCTCGAAAGACATTCTCCACGACGAATTTCACCTATGAATCAACAATACCTGGAAGTATAGCCCCAAGGAACCAAAGAAATATGCACACTTCCCTCTCTGGACCCACAGATACCACAGCTACTGCTGGTTATATACCCCAAGGTACCTATGCTCGCCGGCAGACATTAACACTGAATCACAAAGGCAAATTTTCTAGCTTTACCAAGTCAGATCCACCATCGAAAGACAATAGGTTGCAATTATCTAGAACAAGGGGTGCTGACTCTCGCCAACCTTTGCGGAACAGCATGAGCAGCATTGACCATGGAATCGAGCACTTGCAAAGATCCAAGCAACTGCACCCTAGGTATCAGTGTGAATCCCAGGGTGTTCCAGATCTCTGGATTGGAAGTTCCAATCCACATGCCCGAACATCTTCAATGCTTGAAGCTCCTCTGGTGGAGTTAAAACCAGATTCAATAGAAAGACTTCAATCGAGTGGTACCGGTTCATCACATTCATTGCAAAGACATAAGCGTGGCTTTCCTGCTAGCCCAAGCAAAATGACCATGGACTTGATGGTGCCCGATACCCTGAAAACTAACCGCCGTCGGACTAGATTGGATCCACGAAATGGAGTAGATAAAAGGGGTCCACCCCTCAGAGATTTGTCTACCGATTCATTGGATTCCGAGGACTATGATACAGCCCAGGAATCTGTATCCAGCTTCAATCCAACGGAAGAGGAAGTAGGCGTGAGTGAAAGTTTCCAACTGACACCTACGAACCCCCCTCCCAAGAGTCTATCCCGATACAAGGATTCTTCTTTCAGCTTCCCCAGCCTGCCGATTTCTAAAGCATGCAACACTATGAGTCAGGGTCAGAAACAAGCAAATGATGCGAAGTATCCGCAGAAGGGGAACCTGTTAGCAAAAGTATTCGTGATATGTTGTCGATGTAGATTCTGGCATGATCTTCCACCAGATGTTTATGCAAAGCTGGCCGGGCTGAACATGGATAGGCGTGTCTCTGTCGATTCTCACCTAGCCTCACGTACCCAAAGAGGGCCGCCCGCATCACAACACTGGATTCCTAGTCCAGGACATAGCGACAAGATTGCCTGCTGCTGGTGTGGCCATCGATTGGACAAAGTATGCTGCGAGGGATGGAGTACAGAGGTCAATATGTGCGAGAGACATCATTAAAAACTTGACTGTTTGGGCGACCATTTGCGGTGCTCCCTATATTCATTATTCTCGATGGAACCTGCATTATTGTCGCCAGGTCAGAAATGCCACTATCTCCCGCCACTTTCAGAGCTAGTCTTCTCAGCCGAGATGGACCATGGCTATTCAGATGTACTTCTAGGAAATACAATAAAATCTTCATCTTTCAGTAGCCTGGCATTGTTCATGTCACAGAGTGACTGCTGCTTAATTATCTAGCATTGATCATTCCAACAAGCAATAACAGCAGACTGACGATATAGACAAAGGCTAGGGATTATAATGAATATATAGAGTTGATACAGCAGGCGTCCCTATTAGAAAATATCTTCGCTTCGGCTCCAATCATGCGCTTCCCTGGACTTCCAATAGCCGCCGGTGTGAGCCCAGTATTCTTCACCGGTAATAGGACATTTGGCCCTAGTGAACCACTGCGGAGTATACTCGAGTCCCTTGGTTTCACGCTCGCGCCTCTTGACCCGCTGTTTCTCTTCGACGCGATGCTTCTCATCTGCCGCGAAACTGTATTCGCCGTCTTCCATGGCGCGCTGGTCCGGGCGGAGCCGGGTATCAGTCGGCGGCAGATGGCCCTTGAGAGCCTCGGGGATGGCGTTGAGGGTGATGACAAAGGGTGTCAGATTGAATGGCATCTCACTCGGCCGAGGATTGCTTTGCCAGACAAGGAAGGTCTTTGATGATTCTGGATCCAGGCTACTAACCTGCGCCTCGAATCCGGGGGTGTGGCGAGCATAGATCTTGTCGTTCCAACGTCCCCCGATGCTCCATTTCGGATCACCGTTGGAATCCACCACCTTTCCGCTGACTTGATACGCAGACGAGGCTTTCCATCCTCTCGGTTTGAAATCCAGGTAGCAGACCTCGCCGGTTGTCCAATTTTTGACCTCCATCAAGCCATAGTTATCAACCGTTGGGCTTCCTGTAATAATACCGATGACAGATGACGTGACTTTCTTCCAGGTATACAGTTCCTCTCCTCCGGTTACAGGACGAAGTCTCAAGAACCAAGTGCCGAGAAGATTGATGTCAAATGACTTTCCATAGAACTTGGACTTGAGAGCCGATTCTCCCTGTAAAGCTGCGTTAGCTACTATTCAAAAGCAAAGAACTAAAAAAGGGGATGAAAATCCTATGCTGCGGATTCACGCTTACCCAGTAATCCCACTTAGGCGACTCGGTCCAGGCTGCACCAATGGGTGGATGGTGACTGACCTGCTCGATAAAGAAGCGATATCCTTTATCGGGTCTCACGTACTCAAACGTCTCGCCAAGTAGAGGATTGAAAGGCTTCGCAACGCGGCCGATCGTAGAGGCATACTCACTGGCTGCAAAGGCAGCAACATAGACTAGACGTTCCAGTGAGTCGCTCCGGTCTGCAGCAATATCAAGAAGATCTGCATATTCCAAATCCTCTGCAACTCGCTGGAGGAGGGAAGTTGGCTCGTTGAAAGACACTGGCAAAGTCATTTTTGTCATATCCTTGCCGATCATAGATTTGAGAATGCCCTGAATATAAGATGAGTGTCAAAGTGATGGAAAATGTGGGAAAGAAAGATGCGTGTGATATGCTTACCCATAGCGAAATTTTAGGTCTGTTATCATTATCCATCTTAAGTCTCTCACGGATTGGATCTTCATATCCTTTGAAAGAGGGCGAGATCTCCATTCTCTTCTGGGCTCGAAGTTCCGAACTTTCATCCTCGGGCTCCAGTGGGTTTTCAGCAGCCTCAAGTTCTTTAAGATCCTGTACTTCAATAGCGCCAGAGCCAACGGCATCAAAGAACTCCTCATCTGACTCATCGGAATCGTAGATATCACTGAGCTGGGATATAATTGATTTCTTGCGATTGAGCGTGTGGTCTTCGAAGCTCTTCGTAAGATAGGCGACTTTCTCGACCGTCTCGTTCATGTCCGAAGCAGTCTGTTGTCCATCATTTGGCACTTGCCTGGGTAACTCACCTACAATATTGAGTTCAGAGTGGTCTGCGCTGAGTGGGCGACTAGGGTTTGCCGATGTATTTCCCAAGGCTTCTTTGAGGGCCCGTTTGGTGCGTTTACGCTTTTCTTCGGATTCGCCCATTTTCGATTGTAGATCCTCGTGCTCTTGAGCAACCATTGCCATGCTCTCTTCCCACATCTTCCGGATATTGGCTTCCTTTTCTAGCCGATATTGCCAATATGCATCTCGGTCTCTAGATATCTGCAGAAGATTCTGCACCAAGCCCTTGAGACTGCTAACGGCACCTTCGTAAGCCGTCAAAGCTGAATCCATTCTCGGGTCGGAGATCGTCATATTCGCATTCTTCAACTTTTCAGTTTGCAGAGAAGAAGAAATGTTAGCCAGGAGATCAAGCTGGAGTTTCGCAGACTGTGCAGTTATGTTAAGCGCATCCTTGTCAGTCATCGGCATGTCCCGACTGGACACGTAGTCGCCATAATCATCGTCGTCTCCTTCAATGTCCGGAGCGGTTGTGATATGGCTGACAACCCTATTGACTTCATTCTGAGCAACGCTCGGTTCGTAGGAATCGTGCAAGGACGCCTCATCGTCTCCAGGCACGCTCTCTAGTGTTGTTCGCGAAGTGAATGAGCTCAATCTCGCAATACTGCTGCCAGGGATACCGGACGGCGGTACCGAAAGACCTTTCGCACTGTTCGACCTGCCGCTCGCAAGAGTTGGTGATTCTGAAATATTCTCACCGGCTCGCGCCTCAGTCTTTTCGATCTTTGCTTGACGAAGAGCCTCGGCATTTCGCATTCGAGTTTTTTCCTCTTCCTTAGCTTCATCTTTAGCCCACTGAATGGAATTGTTCAAAGTCCAAAACCATCGCTTCGCTTCCACGACGTGGTTCGCCTTGAGGTGATACTTGACAGAAGATTTCCCTTGGATCTCGAACCGAGTCTTGTCCTGCGCATCCATGTTAAGTTTGGCGATCCGCATATTAATGGCACCACGGCAGGCCGATCCGGCATCGTCTTGGTGCTTGTAATAACTCAAAACCCCATCTTCAAGAACAAACCATCGCAGCTTATAGCCACCGGTGTAGTTGGTCCATTTCTTCAAGTAACCTCTCATTTCACGCGCATCCTTGCCAGCAAGAGGTGTTTCACCTGCTCCAGCTCGTGCTGCCGCATTTTGAACGCTACTACCAAGAATCGCTTTCTCCTGAATGCCACGTTGCGCCATGACAGCCGCTGGCGATTTCTTGACAATTGCTCGCGTCTTGTCGTCCTTGGTGACGTCCTGCGGTAGTTTACCCTTTTTATCACGACGGAAAGGGTCTGCGCCGTGCATTAGAAGGATTTGTATGAGTTTGGTGTCCTTCTTTCGCGCGGCTTCATGCAGTAGAGTGCCGCCAGATTGCGCGGTAACACGATCGGTGACTAGCTCCAAACTGTTCACGTCCAAAAGCCCTTCAACGCGAGGTTCTTCCAGTAATCTTTCCAACTGATCGTAGTCTCCTTGATTGGCAAGAGCCTGAACCTCACGAGTCTTCGTATCGATAAATAGAGACCGCGCCAGCTGGAGTTGCTGAAAGATGTCTGGGGTCCGGGCAAGATCAAGTGCTGTCTGGCCACGATAATTCATGATCGAGTCGTTCACATTTGGTTGGCTGAGCAATTCGCGCACCAAGGGCCCTCTCCCAAGCTGGGCGGCAATATGCAGGGGTGTGTTTCCTTCACGATCGCGCCCGTTGATATCCAAATCTTCAGCCGCAGACAGAACATATTCCACGACTTGCGGCTCCGCGCATTGTATTGCCAGGTGGAGGATACTCGTTTCAGACAGGTGGGTGTTCGATTTCTGGGCGTCTTTGGCCTCCCGGATCGCCTTTGAGATGGCTGTTGTATCGCCACTTCGCAGAACCTCGAAGAGTCGAAACATTCGCACAGACTGGTCAAGTGACAGACTGCCGCTTTCTGTGTACGAGACGGATTGCATCCTGTCCGATGCGCTTCCACTTCGGTAGGATGAAGCCAACTCGATAGGCTCTTCTGCAAGGCTGGGCGACGACGCTGCTTCTTGGTTGTTGTAGCTTCTTCGACCATTGCTGCGAACGTGCGTCATTGACAGTCTTGGGGGAAGCGAAGGTTGATTTATCGGCGACGAAGGATTGGACTCTGCTTGGCTGGCGTAGTCGTCGTCTCGGTCCCCTGACTTGGACTTATCACGGTGTAGGATGGCCAGCGCCAGTGCGCTTTTCGACCGTTTGTGGCTGCTGATCATTGAAGCGGGTTGTTAGCAAAAGGATCTATATATCCCTCGTATTTGCGCATCCATTCCAGGTAACATTTCAAGGTAGACAATTGACCAACATCAAGTGCAGAAAAGCAATGATGCTCTATCCGATTAACAAGGAGAGAGCGGGGTGCTGTCAGAGGACGACGTCCAAAGTTTCAAATGCATACATGAAAGGCCACACGCCATATGAGAGAGAACAAAGCATGGATCAAGTGGCAAAAGCCAGTCGCGCAGAGATGTAGACAGGAAACCAACTCACCCTTCACCCCTTTCCGCCATCTTTATCAAAACAATCCCCGGGGGAAGAGGACTGAATTCGGATTATGATAGATATACAACTGCGGGTTTCAAAGTTAAGAAAAATAGACCGGAGAGTACCACACGCTGGTGATCGCACAGGGTTTAAAAAGGAAGGGGGTGTTTAGCGCTTGGATAAATAAATGGTGACGTTGGTGGGCTATTTTGAGTGTCACGGACGTGGCCTTGGCGGATGTATATACATACCTAGGTACGGAGTAACTATAGTGATCCCTTACACACCCCGCCACCGCGATAGCCAGGGATGGTAATTCGACAACAGGGCGTCATATACGGGAAATAGCTGCTTCTGGGCATACTTTAAAAGGATTTTATGATATGATCTCTAATGTTTTGTCCACCAAAGTTGCAGTAGATATGTTTTCTAAATTGTATTATCTCTAGGGCATCCCAACGATTGCCCATAGATGTATATATGATACATCCTTTATATCCATTATATCTTACAGCACTGCAATGCAGCTATCAAGGACTTCCCATCATCACTGCTTTTCCCCGGTCACAAGAACGACCACACTGCCAAGCTGTCTCCGGAGATCTTCCCTGTTGACATCATGTGTGTCCTCGACCTCACCCCACATATCGGTCTGCCATCTCACCTCAAGACTTGCCGCTTCCGCTGCCTCTTCGATACCAAATCGTTTTGGACCAGATCCCTGCAAGTGGCGGAAGCTCTCGCTCCACTCCACGACCAGTCGAACAGCGACCAAGAGGCTCTTAGCGGCGAGTGTTCCTCTTTCGAGAGCTGCTAGATCATAGGGAGATAGATTGGAGACCCACTGCCGGATGATCTCCTGGGTGGCCTGCGGTTGCGGTGTGGGCAGAATACTGTTTGTGTCTAGAACGGGTAGAATTTCGATGCCCGGCCAGACATTCGTAGACAGGAAACCGATGACATCCTTTGCCACGCGCATCTGGATGTCGCGAAGAGACTCCTGCGCCTCATTTCCTTCAGCCGTGGCTTCCGCGTTATATCTCTCTTGCGCCGGCACCCAACACAGCAGTGTATCCGTTTCCAGGTACCGCATTGTCGTGCTAAGGATCTGCTCTCTGGTGGTCGTTTGTCCATGCTCGTCTTCCAGGGCGATGTCCGCGGCTCGAGAAGTCAGAGAAGTCAGGGGAATGAGGTGATTCTTGAGGGCCTGTTGTGCGGAGGTCATCACGTCCCATTCCAGCGCGATTGTGTGGGCAAGGAACGGCTTCGTCGACGGGATAGAGATAATCTCTTTTCCCGGTGTACGCACTGGGCGCTTATCCAGTAGGACCGTATAGTTCCCATCTATAATATTATAATAGAAAGTCAGACAATGTAGACAAAAAGAGAGATAGACAGACAGAGAGAGAGAGAGAGAGAGGCAATCAATCCCTGTTCCGCTACCGTACCTTTATTCTTCACCACATGGACATCCTTCCAGAACCGCTTCTTGAGCAGACTGGAGACCTGACTGGGAGGAGGCTGTGTCCCGTTTGCCGTCTCTGTCGACCCTCTTTCTGCTTTTGCTGCTTGTCCAGTAACCCGATCGAACTCAGGCGCGGGCTCGGGAGCTTTAGGTGGTGGCCCATGTGCCGTAATGGGATGAGCGACGGCGGCCTTCACGGTGCATGTCTGGAAGGCACGGGAGATCGGCGAGGAAAGGCCGTGAACAGGTCGCGAGGTGAGGCGCCGGGGGAGCGTTTGGAGAGCTCGAGGGAAGCTTGCCATTGTACTTTTTTTCCCCCTGTTTTCTTTTTGATAGGGCCAGACAAGAGAACTCGACTCTGAATTGTGTAAAAATGACAGAGTACGATATCTGTAATCATACGGCGTGTGGATTGCAAAATACGGTCCTCGGGACGCCGATCTTCGACCGAAAGGTTCGGGAAATTGCTAAATGGGTGAGATAATAAATCGTAACATTTTGCGCATCAGCCTATAACTACGTCGTACGAGGATCACCACTGTATAGACTCTACCTAGACTCCGAAGTACATGTTACCTAACTCTAACTACTAGTTAGACTACTAATTCAGAATTCCTAAGATGGAAATCGAATTTTTGTAGTTCGTACCAGGTATAAAGGTACTATGCATACTCCGTAGGCTTCCGGAATCGTCGTTAAAAATTTCCCTCCACTGACTGTCTCAGCTGGTCGACCAGAATCATGATGTTTTACGTATTACCTAGGTATCCTTCTAGTAATAATTAGGTGGTCAACAGAGGTCCTGCTACTTGGAAAGAGCTGTACTTTTTGATCACCAAGAACTGTTGTTAAAGTATTTAGAATCCTGTCAAAGCTTAAATATGTTTAATCTGCCTATGATAGTGGCTGCTGTATAACTAAGCAACCCTGAGTTGGCGGGCATCTATATACTCTACGAAAACCAAGGAGAAAATGACTGCTCACATCCAGATAGAAGCTTGAATTTGCCCCCTCATTTCTCCTCCTCTCGGAATAAAACTCCAGAGTGGGCTATCAGTACCTATCGAGCAGAACTGAACAGATTCCGCATTAGACCACCATCGAGATGACCCCGGCTTACTCCGTAGGATAAAACGGGCACATTGCAGTTGTGGCGGTTTTTGACTTTGGCTGCTGGCGAGGCAGCAGCTCCACAGTCCGCGCATTTTCATTACAGAGCATGGATGCTGAAGGCAGTATTTAACATCATTTGCTGTTTACAGTACCTAGGTAGGTACCTAGTATAACCCGGAGTCCGTACATCTGCCAATGGTAAATGTATATGCAAAGTGCTCCGTATACTTGGGAAGAAGACAGGTAGTGAACATGTGGGAGCAAATGAGGCGATTCAATCTATTCTTGGCATACGTATTACTACTACCAAGAGCTCTCAAATACATAGGAGAAAAGGTGAGAATTATGATTAAAGACGGGGTATATGTAGAAAAGCGACAGCAGAACCCGCCCATGCTTCTCTATTGTTGAAAAAAGTTTGAAAGACCTCAGAACTTTTGATCTCAACGACGTTGGTAAGAAATATTGATGGATCGGGTTTTCGGTCCTGTTGATCCCGTCGAACTGCTAGAAGAATAGAAAGAAAGAGACAAGAATTGAAGCAGAAAGCACTTTGGATGTACCGATCAAGCAGATAATAAAAGGGAACAAAGAAAGGTTGAGGATGAGAGAAATGATGCAGTGGGGAAATGCTGAGAATACAGTATGCGGGATTCTTTTGGAAATAGGAAAAAAAAAAAGAGAAACAAAGGCATGAACCACGCTCAATGGAAAACACATGAAAACAAAAAAGCAATTAACTATTTACTAGTTGATTACTGAAACAGAATGAGATAAGCCTGTCGATTGATCAACCAACTGACTTTAAAAAAAGATGGAGAATGGTTAGTATCGCGCGTCATTCGAGTTGAAGGGTAAAATGGAATGGCATGAAAGACATTTTCATCATAAGAAGAGAATTATCCAGGGAAATGGATGCGCGGCCACTGTCCTTGGTGGATAGGATGAAAGGACAGAGTGAGCGTTGCGGACTCTTGAAGAGGCCATCGGGCCATCCTCAGAATCGTAAAGCGCACGGATGATGAGGAGGATCCCTTGCGCAAAATTGTATCAATTTTACCGCGAGGTATGTACCTGGAGAGGCAGAGAGTTCAAGACCGTGGGTGTCTCTTTCCTTTGATCGTCCGCCCAGTCATCATTCCACGAAGGAAGCAATGATTGGGTGAGAGAATCAGCATAGTAGTAAGATTGCTTCGACTGTTCGATCTCTGTACGTTTCTTCATGCGTTCAGCGTCGTAGTCATCGGCGCCTTCGCGGCTACCCCACGCAGTCTGTAATTAACGAACTCAAAGTTAGTGGATCCCTTGAAATGGTAGTTCGTTATTACAGAGTGGGCAACAGCTCGGGGATTGGGCGCGTGAGAGGAACATCACTCTGCCGAGATGAACCGAAACATCCGGGCAAAAAGTAACGAGGTCAAGTGATGAGAAATATAGGAGAGGCAAATGAGAGGGGAAGGGAAAAAATTCCAGGGGCCAAAAAAACATGAGAGAATCCGAGGGACTGTCTGCCTTGATAAGAGTGAGGATATATGATCGAGGAATCATATATTCCAGTCTTATGGGCATCTATGCAATGCAATCACTGTGTGTGTGTGCACATTGCACTTGCTAACCGCAGAGGCCCAGCTCGCCAGGCCAACCGGAGAACGGGTGATGAGGCAGGATTTTAGGCAGTCCAAACAAGGCTAGAACCTCGGTCTAGGCGGACCACTTTTGAAGAGCCCTGCAACTGTGTGCACAGACCCCTGTAGACTCGCAAGACAGACCAAAACAAAGCACGAACCATCGAGGAAATGATTTTTGCAACTTACCACATTGAGCGTTAGGACGGCGTACATCTTGATGATCCCGTGGAAATAGCCGAATAGTATGGAGACGGGCAAGTAGAGGACATCCACCGGGTAGCGAATGTAGTGTCCGACCAACTTGATCCATTTGCTGATGAACATCCACGTATAGAGCGATTGCATCGCCAGAAGGTGCGACTCTGCATCCCATGTGGCGGTAGCTTTGTGGCAGAGTATGACGAGTAACAGGTCACCCAGCAGAGCTGGAGGCGAGAGTGTTGTCAGGTGGACGGCGTAAGCACTCCAAGGCTGGCGGCTGGAACATCGAAAGCAAAGTGTTAGCGTGCGGCTTAAATGAGACGGCTTCTTATGCGTCTGGCTAAAAAAGGGAATCCCGTCTCCACCATGGCTGGAAGTACGGCCGGAGCACTGGCCAGCCCGCCATTTGGCCGATTTTTTTTTTCTCCAGAGCTGGGATTGGATGGGTGTGCTCCGTAATGCAGTGGAACAATGATGTGCGTCAGGAGGCGCATGGCTGCCGTTCCAAATTTGGAGTAGCACGAGACAAGGAGAAAGAGAGAGGGAGAGAACTGGGG